TGGAGGCTAGGCCTTTTTGGAGGTGTTAGATTGCCACCCAGTTAGTCTCAAACCCGCAGGAATCATCCATCTAGCTAGCCTGACTTTTCCGGGTGAGACTAGTATTCATAGGATAGAATAGAATAGAATAGAATAGAATAGAATAGGTTTATTGGCCAAGTGTGATTAGACACACAAGGAATTTGTCTTGGTGTAAATACTCTCAGTATACATAAAAGAAAAGACACATTCATCAAGAGTCGAGAATCATAAGGTACTTAATGATAGTCATAGGGTACAATAAGCAATCAAATCATACTAGGAAACAGTTTCTAGAAAACATTTCTAGTCAGAATCTCATCCTGCTGCTGCATGAGGCTGCCTTTTAGAAATGATTCAGCAATCCTCTGCAAGTCTCACCTAGGGCCCTTCTCTTTTGGTACTGCTAAGAGGTAAAAACTTTTAAAGGACACACTGATTTTTCTGATCTTTTACTAGAGATACGGGATGAGCGAGTAGATAAAACCTGAAACCATGTATAATGGAAAACTTATTACTGAGCTGTGGTGGTTCTCCTGTCCAGATTCAAAAAACAGATTTAGTTGCATTAATCCATTAGTTTCAAATGTGTAGACCCAGTCATTGTGACCTTTCTTAAAGCATGATGTGTGAGCTCAACCAATATATTTCCTCTCATTCCAGCGGGAAAAGCTATTGCTCTTTGACTCAGCAATTATAGAAACAGAAATCAAAAGACTTAGTTGCCTGCTGACCTTATCAAGTTCAAGTCCCTAATTGGTTTCTTTACATAAATACGCTTAGGTTTAAACTTCAGATTAAAATCTAAAAGAAAAGGAGGCATACTCAGAAATAACTTCTAGTGATGTAATCAGTCCACTTAATTAAAAGCAAAATGAGATTCTGATAGGATGCTTGAAAATTGTTGCCGTCCGAAGGGGCCTCTTCTCAGTCACATCTACCTGACCAGGGAGGCAGGGTGCTATGGATACTCTCTCTAAGGAGGTCCAGCAAGCGGGACCAAGAAGGGCCTTATTTGTGGTTGCTGCCTCCTTGTGAAACATCATCCCTATGAAGATTGGCCCCCATTTTGATACTTTTTCTTGAGCCCCTGACGATCTGATTTTGCCAATGGATCTGGAGAACCAAGAGTGGGTTAGAGCCCATCAAATGGCTCATTTGACTGGTCTACATGGGAGATGTGGAGGTTGTTCCTTTTTTATTGTTTTTATATTGGATTTTTATCGTTGTAAACTTCCTGGAGTCAGTGTGAGTGAGGTCAGCAGTATAAATTTTCTTAAATAAATTTCAAATATTCATTGTGCAAAAACAGTGTAATTTAAAATGTTGCTCCATGCCTTAATTTTTGAACACATTTCCTAGTTCAACAGTTAAAAACAATTTCAGAAAGATAATCGTGAAAATAAATTAGTAATTTTTTGATTAAGTGGCATGAATTGCATGATTATTGTTCCTGACTAAATTGTTCAGGTGTAGCTTGGGTGAAGTAGACAGTTTTACTTTTAATTTATTTAGAAATATGTTCTGCTGGACTGCACTGGTCTCTAAACTATAACGGAAAAACAAGATCCTTCCAGATCTTTCTGATGGTCAGCTACACAATGAGGGATGTTGAAAGTTGAATTGCAGCAGCTTTTGGACACCTGCAAGTTTGCCCTTCCCAATCCACTTTTCATGCACATTTGTTTCGGATTTTATAAGTCTTTAATTTATGTCTGCTCTGGAATGAATGATTAGAAATATGGAGAATCCTGTATTTGGCATGGCAGTCAACTTCTGCTACTGCTTCAGATCCAGAATTCTGCCAAGTAAAGAGCTTTGAATGCTGAAACGACTAGTGTGCATGTCTGCTTCAAAATGCACCATTATATTCAATAACTTATTCTTTGTGCACATAAGATAGCAAGTATAAGATATTAAGGCAACTGAATATTATAGGTATAAATTCATTTTATTTAGGTAGCTTTTTACAATTAGTTTTTAAATACATTTTTTTCTCTGTAAGCTAACTAGAATTGTGCTAAAAAGCTGGGTTCAAACATTTTTTAAAATGATTCAAAATGATGTTTTAGTAGAGTGGATGGGAAAGGAAAACACAATGGCTGGAGAAATGGCTATTAACACTCCGAAAATACTTGACAAAATTTCTTTGCCAGTTCTTAACAGAATGAGCATCTCTTCCTTTTGTACAGCAAAACATTGCTCTTTCTTTGTTAACATAGACCAGCCTTGGTTTCTCTCAGATATGAGAGACCATGCTTTCCAAAGTACATGACCATTGGAATTACATTTCAACATGTATTCAGGGCGCAAGATTGTGCAACATTGGTACCACCAAAGCAATGTAAGAAAATTAAAGACTTTCATGTCATAGTTCTTCCAGTGACATATCAGTGGAAAGCCCACAAGCAAGGCATGACACCAGCAGAATCTTTACCTTTATGGCCATTTGAGTTGGTGATGAAATCTCATCTTTTGGCAGCAAATACAATTAGTAACTAGGCAGATTATTTCCTTTTATGAAAGCAGGAATGCCAATAGAACCAACTACTGTATAATATTTGTGAAGTTTCAGAGAATGGACACAGAATACATATAATTTAAATTTTACCTACTGTCATTATAGAAAAACCAACACGTTTGGAAATCTAGCTGTACAGCTAGGTTGCAGCACCAAAGTAACTTTGGGCTCTACAGTTAAGTAGCATCAGATCTAGTTAGTATTTGATGAGAGTCTTTTAGGAAATAATAGGACTGTGGGCTTGACTAGGAAGTTGAAAAAAACCTCACATTGTTATAAAAGTCAATGGCAAACTGTTTCCATGTCTTGCCCATCAAGAACCAATGATTTTCAGACCTCATGAGTTACATAAATATGAAACAGGTATCTCCAGAGTGGTAGTCTAGAAAAAGAATTTCAAGTCCATTGACTTGAAAAGAAAACCAAGAGAAGGCCTGTAGTTTAAACCTTGGGCTGAAACACAGAGTTTGATTGCTGAATTCTGCAGCATTACTTATCTCTGCATTAAAGTAACTTTTGTGTTATGTCAAGTCTGAAGCTTCCCCTGCTTGGTAGTTGCTGAATATGGGATTGCTTTTCTGGGGAGGAGATGTTTATTGTCATACTCAGAGTGAAATCTGACAACAGTAAAGCCAGCTTCTTAATGATTGGATTTAAGTTTCCTGGCACTTGTGATAAAGAATTTAGGATATTCTTGACAACTGGGCAAAAGACAAGCTAATTATTATTAGATATTAAGAACTTCCATTCCAGCAGAGAGGGAGAGAAATTTTATTTGGCTCTTTGCAAACCACTATTGACTGAAATTTAAATTTCACTGAAAAATAGCACTCATTGAATAACATTTGTGATAAAAACTTTAACAAAGAGCCAATCTGAGAAATATTGTCACAAAGCATTATAAAGAATGAACTACCGAAAGTTCATTGAACTGAATACACTCTTTCACACACACACACCCTTTGCTCATGTTTTATGCAGTGACTATATTTTACTCAACTGTAAAATATAAATTACATCTTCATTTGTTCATTTGGGCTTATCAAATTCATATCAACAAATGTAACTAAGTGGAATCCAGACTCTAGTTTACAAAGTGGATAGATGCCTTTGCAAGGTGTTGTGGAAAATATCTTTCTAATATCATAATGTGAGAATGCAAAAATAAATAGGCAAATAGGCCATGTCAGTATTTGGTCATGTGTACTCTCACACAGATGAATGAATGACTTAAAAAGGAAATGCTCAACATCTGAAGTGGACCAGAAACTACACCGAATTAAAAGGTTACTTTAAAAATAGATTCAAATAAAGGGCATATGAACAGAAGAAACAAATTCTCCTGGAAACAGCTACCTGGATATCACAGTCATGATTATTAGCAACAAAAATGTTCTATCAAAATTCATTATCAAGCAAAAATTTGTTCTCAATTATATAAGGAACTGGGGAAAAATATTTCTATAGTACTGGCAAGCTTAATAACATACATGTTATTAGACTTGCAGGATAGGTGATTTTTTTTTCTTGGTAAAAGTTATTTACAAAACCATCTGAGGCGAGATTAGCTATGACATGATTATTAAAGGCTTAAACATAAATTATATTCTTGATGATTGATTAATTTTGCTTATGTCTGGCAAGACATCCAGCAATTTTAGCTATCCTTAAATAGACCAGTAATGCTCATATCTAACATAGAGAAGAGAACCTGTAGCCTCTTGATACTGGCAAATATTCTTTGCAATTCGCCATTTAAGATTGAGGCTGCTAGAAACAATAGTTAACATAGGGAGAAATTTCTCTTTATAGTAAAAATGTTAATTGCTATTCTAGCAGGATAAACCAGAATTATCTCTGTAGTCTGGAAGTCTGCAAGCCTATGTTAAAAGTCAGTAATGACTGGTAGTTCTTTTAATGGTGATGACTAAAAATATTTCAGCAATAACCTCCCTCCAAGTAAACAAAGGCGATCTCCACTTGTCAGGCTAATTCCCAAGGAATTATTTCAGTGCTTACTTGAATATGTAGCACGACAGAATAAAATACACTACAGGTAGTCTCAACTTAAAACAGTTCATTCAGTGACAGTTTGAAGTTACAACGTCACTGAAAAAAGTGACATGACCATTTTTCACTTATGACCATTGTAGCAGCATCATAGTCACGTGACCAAAATTTGGATGCTTGGCAACTGGTTCATATTTATGACGGTTGCAATGTCCCCAGATCATGTGAACACCTTTTGCGACTTTCTGACAAGCCAGGTCAACGGGGAAGCCAGGTTCACTTAACACGCCGTTTTGACATCACCATGGCTTTCTTAAAATGCTACTGCATTGGTGGACATTTATGCTGAATGTTTTTCATCTTCCTCTACCCTAAAAATTTCTGTCCTCTCTATTATTATTTAGGATTGGCCAAACAGGATGAAAAATCTCTACT